CAATCAACTACAAACAAACTTTTCATTCAGTGGTTGAAATGAAAAAGCACTCTATTCACATGCTTTTAAGGTAAAGTGCATAATATCTGCAACACTAACACAAAAATAATAGAATGTTTCTTCACATCCAATGATACCGATTTCATTTGCAAAACAGCTTATGAATCATCAAATAATAAAGATTTCTGTAATTTCAGTGCAGGTCATTTGATAATACAAATTTCATTCACAGTGCTGTAGTGAATATGTAATGACAATAATGGAGGTGTACTGTTAGTAATAATAGCAAAGCTATTATAATGCAGTGCTACCAGGCAGGTGTTGTATAAATTTATAGGAACATTTTCATTTTGTCAGCAGTTTCTTTTCATATCTTTTCACACTCTTTGTTACCCTTTTGGCTTTTACATGTTTTTTATACTCTGAGACCAGCTCTCTCAGCTCTTCTGACAGCTGAGTATCTTGAATGCTTCGTTCAGACTCATGAGCCAAATGCTTTCGTAATATACTATTTATCTAGCAGAATGTCCAAGCTGCTCTTTTCCATACAATGACAATTAACAATTGTCTCTTGTGTCCATTCACTTTCATTGTCTGGAAAAATGTCTTCACTCAAGGAAGAAAGTCATACAGGTTTGGAACGACATGAGTGAATGATGATAGAATTAGCATTTTTGGGTGAATTATTCCTTCAGTGTAGCATAACTGTGTAGATCTCTCAGCCTGACCCTGAAGCGGCTTTAGTTTGGCTAAGCAGAGTGGACAGGAAGGCCTGCCGGGGCCTCCGGCTGAGAGTTCTAGTTTCATCTGACAGAGATGGAAAATAGCAGAGTAAACAGTCTGGATGCCTCCAGCTTGGTAGTCATACTTTACCTGTCTGATGTATGCAGCAGTATTGTTGACGGTAATTGGGGCGAAGTGAATGCATAAACCATCACGCCTTGATCTAAGGTCAAAAATTAAATAAATAAATCAATGCAAATAGCCAGAGTCAAAGCCTGACCTTGAATATGCTGACAAAAATGAAAAATGTTAAATCCTTATGTTGATTTTTGATGGCTGTTATATTGTGGTGAGTATATTTTGCTTGTATCTGCATTGAGTGAGTGGACCCATTGTCTTTAGCCAAAAAAAAAGTCAGTATTGCATGTATTCTTCACAGAAAAGCCAATTTCAGAATATTCCAAGCAGGGTATGATAATAAAAATAAGGCACTGTCTATTTACACTAAGTGCAAATCACCAACAGAAGGCAATTTTCACTAACTCTATCCACCATTGCTTTTATAATTTACCCTTAGTGCAAACAGCATATGATTTCTATTTAAACTTTGTATGAATATCATGTATCAGTATTTGCACTTAGTGTAAATATGATGCTATTTGTATCTGTTTACATACGGTGCACATGGTATCCAGCACTATTTACAGCAATTGTAGCTTCTTTTGAATATCCGCTGTCTAAATGTAATTCATTCAATAATTTTTTTCAAATGAAATATAAACTATGTTGCCCAATATTTGTGTGTGATATATTTTTGTGCTTAATAGAATCACGTGACCGCAGCTTTATACAGCAAGGCGACTCACTAAGAGCACAAGTGTGTGTCTAGTCAAATGACTGCAGTATAATGATTGTATTAGACAGTGTATGACTGTATCAGACCATTATTACATAATGTCTTTCTCATAAAGCTGTAGGCAGCAGGAAAGTATGCAGATATGTTGCAGTAATGCATTCAAAATACAGTAGAATACTTAAATCATCAGCTAACATCTTACTTTCATATTTGTATTTCATTTAATGTTTATTTAACTCACTTTCTGATTGTATTTTCTGACTGGATTGGATTGTGTAATGCTGTTTATCCCATCATTCCTCATTTCAAGTTCATAAAGAGCAGTAAATTCATTCTCACTAAATGTCCATCTGATTCCTACCATCCACAACAGATTATATTGTTTTTTTAGGATGTGTTTTCAGATATTAAAGTCATTTTGTATTGATTCCAAATGAGAGCACATTAGAATAAAACAAATATAGCTGCTGTTCAATTAAACCAAAGCCATTGAACAATAGACATCGACTGGGCCAGCAGGCTGAGAGAGTTCACATGGTCCACTGCTAAAGAGGAGCGCAGGACATAAAGGATTAAACCACTTAAAGGAATTAAGAAACGGTCGGCCGTTTATCAATTATTCATGCAATAGAATCAAATTAAATGGCTTTTATAATGGGTGAGTACAGAGGGGGTCTCTTTAGAGAATAGATTGCACACTGGACAGATTACTCTGCTTTTGTATGATGTACAATGAACTTTCAAATTCAGCTGGTTTGATTGCATTTTGAAAAGTATAAATTACTTGAAAACTCTTTTATACGTCAATGCTGCTAAGCTGATGCATCAAAGATTGATTGAAGTTGCATAATTTTCCCTTTGGTATCATGTGTTTGTCATTAGTTTGCTTTGTGTTTGTGCCGTGAGGATAGTTTGTGGTCCTCCACCACAGTGCAAATAAGCTGTATCAGTACGCCCTGCTGAATACGGTTTACTAATGTAGAAGGAAGACTTCTGCTGAGTGTGAACTGAAGTGTCACTCTTGCTCTTGTCTAGCTGTAGGTCTCTCGATCTGTCATAAGAAGGACCTTGGGTTTGCTGAGGTCACGGTGAGGTTATTTATAGTAGGTCATCATTATGACACAAAGGGTCAGAAACCTGACAAATAATTAACAAGCTCATTATTAATTCATGGAGGGAGAGAGCCATAATGTGTTCTTGATGTCTCTGATGTGTGCTTCAATCACTTAGCTGGAGCTCTGAGAGAATTATTCACACTGAGCTTGTCTGGTGTCTGTGAGGAAGTATAACTGAAATCCTCTCCAGCCTTTGGGAATTTGCCGGTATTTGTAGATTTGTAAAAGAGTGGAAGATCTGTAGAAGAATATTTTGGCAATAGTAGCAAGCTGTTGTTTGCCTTTCAAGTCTATTTCAGTGACCAGAAACAGTGATGCTACTGACTATATTGCCATCCCATTACTACTCTATATTTATATTAAAATATACAAATTTGCCGTTGGATTAAGTAAAAAAAAAACAGTAATAACAAACTACACGATAATTCCAAAAAGCATGTTGGATAAGTATTTATATAGCAAATATATAGCTTAACTTTGCCTCTAAAAATACAGTTGCCTGTGGCACAATTATGTAAAAAGTCACAATATTGAGATATAAAGGTCAAACTGAGAATAAAAATAGCTTTTGTGAGATATAAAGATGCAGTTTTGAGATATAAAGGCAAAGTTTTGAGATATAAAGTTATGGCTATTATGAATAATAGCCATAACTTTGAGAAATAAATATACAGTTGTGAGATATAAAGGTACAATTGTGAAAAATAGCTGTAACTTTGAGATATAAATTGTGAGATATAAAGGCACAATAATGTAAAGGGCAAAATTTTGAGATATAAATTGTGAAAAATAATTGCACTGGTAAGTTTTGAGAAATAAAGGCACAATTGTGAAAAATAGGCAGAATTTTGAGATACAAATATAAAATTGGGATACATAAAGGTCCAATTGGGAATAATAGTTGCATTTGTGAGATACAAAGATACACATGACATAAAGGTACAATTGTGGAAAAAGTCACAATAAATATATATCAAACTTAGGAGAAATAATAAAGCTAATTGTGAGAATGAGATAAATTGTAGGAATGTTTGAAATATACTTTTTATGTATTTTTAAAGTCACGTTTATGATAAAGTGCAAATATACTTTTTATGTATTTTTAAAGTCACGTTTATGATAAAGTGCAATTGCAATTGTGAGATATAACGGCACAATTATGAGAAAGGTCACAGTTACCTTTTTATTTCATTTTATTTTTCAGAAACAAAACAAATCTGTTGACTGTTTAATAGCAAATAATTTGCTTCAATTTCTTGTGGAAATTTAAATCAAATGTATAATATTACCATGAAGACACAGAGAATGTTATTAAAGAATTTGTTCTCATAATATTTGCATACTGAATTGCCTTTTCTCTTCTTTCTGGCATATATTTGTGTACTGAACTTTGTTTGATCGTTTCTTTCCCACATCTATTAACCATATCCATCTCGTTACATGTCCACTGGCATGGAAGAAACCCGCTCAATACAGTCCAAACACCAGCAGCCTGCCGCTGCAAAACACACAGCAGTGTGCTAGTCTTCACAATGATCGATGATAACATCAATAAAGTCATCGTGTATATTACTGATTATTAAACGAACACACAGTTGTGCATACATCACGACACACAGTTTGCAAATGCATAACACGTGATATGTAGAGACCTTTCCAGCATTCACAGCAGTATCCTGGCCCAGAATCCTCTCATTGCATGTGCATTTGGCATTGCTTAATTTTGTACACACACATATGCTCCCACACACACCCTTGAGGCCAGCCTTAAATTAGACAGACGATGCATTTCGCTCTCCTCGCTCCGAGTGTCCTCTTGTCTTGCTGTGATTGACGTGTGGTGGGTGTGGCGGTAAGTAATTCGGTCTAATCATTCCAGCAGGCCCCTGGCTGTGTGAACTGTGGGTGAATATATCAATACACACAAACAAACACACTGCAGAGTGCAGGACCGCCGAGCGAAGCGCTGGGACTAATGTTCATGTTGTGATGTACTGGGGGATTTCGCTTATCAGACTCTTAATTAGAGATATTGAGGCAGAAAGGAGTTAGGATCTGTGTGTGTGGTAGAAGAGTGATAAAGAATTTGTGATTATTGTTGTGTCAGTGTGGAGCCGTTGAAAGCCTGTGGAAAGAGGGAGGGCTGTGTCAGATTTTCTAGGCTGTATCGCTGTAATTGGTCTGGGCTGTTCATAGCCCTGTTAACTTGTCAGTCAAGGCTGGATGGAGAGGGGATTGAGCTGAAGGCTGTAGTGTGGGTCAGCAATCTGTCAATAGTTCTGTAAGATATTTGGGCTTGCTGTATTTAATGCATCCCTTACTTTTTGATGTCACCCTCAGGTACGACTAGACAGCCACGAGACGGTGAGATCACGGGAGTCGACTATAACTTTGTCTCCGTTGAGGAGTTCTTCTCGCTGGAGGAGTCGGGGGCACTGTTGGAGAGCGGGAAGTTCAAAGGTCAGCCTCATACCTGAATAATTCATGAATATAAAGAAGAGGAAGTATAGAATTACAGTGCAACTTAATTATTTCATTACTTGTTGTTGAATGTTCCTTGGATGTTTTTTAAGGTCATGCGTTAGATCTATGGGGCTTTGTATCCAGTGTTGATCTATTGATTCACAGTTCTAAGAGCTCCATTTACACACATCAACATGCATCAACACAGCTGTTGTGCTTGCAATACTTATCTATATTATATTATATTATATTATATTATATTATATTATATTATATTATATTATATTATATCAGCATAAGTCCAATGAAAATTTTAATAAAAAATGTTTTGCTCAGTATTTTTTTCATTTGGTTAATATGCCTTTTTAATTATATTTTAATATCTTAATATATTTTAATATAGTTAAACAATCATGCTAAACCTGATTGTGGTCTTGTAATATATCACACGTAATGAAGTAAAACTGATCACAGAATAAGTGGCCTATGAGTAAATATTATTTCCCTTCAGTTTATCTAATTTTGTCCCATCAGCCGTAGCTTTTGAAGGGGTCATATGATGCTTTTTTAAAGATCATTATTTTGTG